TCACAGCTCACAGCAACCTCCAATTCCTGGGCTCAAGTGATTCTCCTGCCTCTGTCTCCCAAGTAGCTGGGACTACAGGTGCCTGCCACAATGCCTGACTATTTTTTGGTTGCAGCCGTCATTGTTGTTTGGCGGGCCCAGGCCAGATTCAAACCCACTTGAGCCACAGGTGCCGAGCCCCAATCTATTGAAACACACCATTCTACCTTCCACCTCAGGGCCTTTGTACATGATGTTCTCACTGTCTGGAACACTGTTGCCTCCATATGACTAACTCCCACTCATCCTTCAGAGCTCACCTCAACTTAAATTTCCTCCAACAAGTTTCCATATCATTCTATCTAGAGTTGGTTTCCTCCTGTTATTTTCTTCTCAGCATCTTATTTCCTTCCTAGAACATATCACACTTTATAATCAAATATTCAGTAATGTGATTATTTAATGTCATTATCCAGAATTTGAATTCCATGAAGACAAGGACTATGCCTAACTTTCTTACCACTGTTCTTGGTAAGAACAGCAGGGGCCAGGGCAGTGCCTCTGGCTCAGTGAGTAGGGAGCCAGCCCCATTATACCGAGGGTGGCAGGCTTGAACCCGGCCCCCAGCCAAACTGCAAAGCAAAAAAATAGCCAAGCATTGTGGCGGGCACCTGTAGTCCTAGCTACTCGGGAGGCTGAGGCAAGAGAATCACCTAAGCCCAGAAATTGGACATTGCTGTGAGCTGTGACGCCACAGCACTCTACCAAGGGCCATAAAATGAGACTCTGTCTCTAAAAAAAAATGAAGAACAGCGGGCGGTGGCTGTGGCTCAAAGGAGTAGGGCACCAGCCCCATATACTGGACGTAGCAGGTTCAAACCCTGCCCTGTCAAAAACTGCAAAAAAAAAGAACAATAGGGACCTACTGAAAATTTAGTAAGTTTACAAGTGCTATGTGAGGTTTAAGGTCAAGAATATTGGCTTTGGAGGCAGCATGTACTTGAATCCCAGCTCAACCACTTCCTTACCATATGTCTGTAGAAAATGGGCCTAGCTTCTCTGAGCCTCAGTTTCCCCACAGTTATAGTAAGGGTAATCATGGTTCCTCCCTCCTACAAACATTGTTAAGTATTAGAAAGAATAACTTGGCACAGAGTAGGCACTCAACAAATCCTAATATCATTTTAATTTACCCATTGAATCCATAACATTCTCATTGGTCCCTAAGTTTGGCTACCTCATAAAACTCACTTCCTTTAGCACCTATTAAGTGCCAGGCAATGAGCACAGAACACAACTATAAGATGCAGGGTAGAAAACTGACAGAGAACATAAACTAATGGTTTTCACTGTGATAGTCAAAGTGACTTCATATCCCTGAGCCTTGATTCCCATCACTGTAAATAGGGCTGATAGTTCTACCCAACCAGGTCAGTGTGAAGATGAAGGTGAACAGTTCTTTTTTTTTTTTCTTATTAAATGATAGCTGTGTACATTAATGCAATCATGGAGTACAGTGTGGTGTTTTCATATACAATTTGAAATATTTTCATCAAACTGGTTAACATAGACTTTATGTCAATTTTTCAGTTATTGTGTTAAGACGTTTATACGCTACTTTTAAAGGTGAACAGTTCTGATAAAGTTCCCAGCTATGTGCTTGGCACATAGAAGATGCTCAGAGGAAGGGAGCAGCTTTAATTCCAAGAGTGGGAGATTGGTGTTGGGAGTGCTCATGGTAGGGGATGAGGCTGAAGTCAGGGATGGGGTTTGGGATACATAGAAAGTGGAGGAGTTGAGATGAACTGTGGAGAGGGGTGGCTATGAGGATGGGCTAGGGTAGAAATGAGGCTAGAAATGGGATTATGGATGGGAATAGGAATGGGGTCAGCACTGAAGATAGGGCTGAAAGTGGGGTGGAGATGGGGTGGAAGATGGCATTGGGGTTGGGGAGAAAGAGGGGGTCAGGTCTGGGGAGAGATGGTTGAAGATGGAGTTGAGGAAGGAATTGTGGATGGGGAGGAAACAGGGGTGGGGAAGAAGGCAGAGTTGAGCTGGGCTGGGAATGGGGGCGGGGATGAGGTTGGGGTGGGAGTGAGGATGGAGGGAGGAAAAGATGTGGGGATAGGAAGGGGGAGGGGTTGGACATAAGGAAGGGCAAGAGGTTGGGGGGGCGGGGTTAGAATTGGAAATGGCCTTGGGATTGGGGATGGTGCTGCAGTAGGTTGGGGTTAACTTTGAGATGGCATTGGAGTTGGGCTTATGCATCCCTGAATAGAAGTCTGGACGGGGCCATGCAAAGCTTACCTTCAGGGTCCAGCAGACGTGCCAGCCCCAGGTGCTGCTCAGCTGTGCGGAATGCTCTCTGCAGGTTGTAGTTGGCATTGGACTTGGTGAGTTTGCTGAAGTCCACAAGATCAGGCCTGGGCAGGGGCACAGAGCAGGCAGGCAGCAGGCAGGCTCCAGAGCCAGTGGGCAAGCAGATGAAAAGGCATCCTTGTCTGAGCCCCACCCAGGGTGAGGGGCAGGGAGCACAACCCAGCCAAGGGGCAAGCTGGGTGTGCTGGTATGTGCTGTGTGCGATTTATCTGTGGTGTGAGTGTGGGGACTCACACATGTCTCTGAGAATGCCTGGGAATGTGAGTGTGTGTACATTTGCTGCCGGGCATGTGTAAGCCATCTTGTGTGCATAGACCCGCGGGTGGGTCCGTCTGTGGGTGCTGGGAGGAGAGGAACCACGTGCTGCCTGTGTGTGTCTCCATGAAACTTTCTAACAATACAAGTGTACAAAGCCCTGGTGTGTGTTGCATGAGGACATGTGTACCTCTGACACACGTGTCCTCCACTCAGAGTATTTACACAGAGTGTTATGTAGCAGTTAGAGGTGTGAGGTCTGGAGTCAGCACAGCAGGGCTCAAGCCCCAGTTGGTCACATCCTGCTCGTGTTGCTCTGGGCAGGCCACTTCATTTGTCTGTGCCTTATTTTCCTCATTTGTAAAATGGGGACAATAATAGCATCTGCCTCATAGATGAGTTGGACATGTTGAATGGGTAGGTGGAATACTAAATGACTGAGAGGCGCTTGGAACAATGCCTGGTAGGCAGACAATACTTAGTACATGGTGCCACTTGCTAACATGACCCTGGTTACAGCTTGCAAGTTTCTGTGGGGGGAGGTCCAGGTCTCCCCCTGTGTATATGTATGACAGGCAGGCGTTATAAGAAAACATGTGTCCACAGCAGAGAGAGCTGGGTTTTGGCTTCTCTACATCAGAGCAAGTCCCTCCCAGCTTCTGAGCCTCAGTTTCCCCAATCTGTCATATGGCTCCTCATGACATGGGTGTGATTTGTATGGGTGCCTGACTCTGAGCCAGTTCAGCACCAGCCCTGAGGCACAAAGGGGTGAGTGGGCAGGAATCCAGGACAGGGGGCTCTGGAGCTCTCCTCCAATAGGCATGCTGTGTACACACCAGAGGGGAAAGTTGATGGAGCAGTAAGACCCCTGGGAACATCCAAGTAGCAGGTGCAGGCTGTGTACTTGTATGGATATCTGTGTGTGTGCACACATTTGTAGAAGGGCCTGTGTGTGTCCACGTGTGTCTAGGGCACATGGCCTGTACAGGAGTGTATGGGGGTGATGTTCTTTCATATCAAATGTACAGGGGATGTGTGTGAAGGGAGATAAATGTGTATATGTGTGTAGAGGTGAAAAGATGAGTCCTCGTGTCCATGTCTGTCATCTATACACACATGCACAGGTGTGTGGCTGTGGGGACATGGGATGGGGTGCAGGGCTGGGCTGGGCTGGGCTGCCCCAGGCCAGGTGGTACCTGTGCCGGTGAATGAGGGCATTGAAGGCCAAGCCATCCCGCCAGCTGGTGGTGAAGTTCTGAATGTTTACCTCAGGGTAACTGGCAGTGTGGAGGGGGAAAACAGAGGCAGAGATGGAGAGAGTCAGGAGGGAATTTCAGGGAGGAGGAGAAGGAGATAGAATGGTGGGGAAGAAAGGGGTGGGGGAAAGGACATAGAAGGATAGATGCACAGGTGGGTAGGGAGGTAGGTAGATAATATACATAAGATAAAGCAGATGAATGGGGAGATCAGGGAGATGAAGGGAGAAAGAGGAGGAGAGAAAAAGAGAGGCGAAGGGGAGAGGAGAGAGGGAGGAGGGCAAGAGAGACAGAAAGAGTGAGATAGAGATGAGGAAAGAAAGGAGGGGAGATAGAGAGAGAGAGGCAGGAAGAGAAAAAGGAAGGAGGAAAGGAGGCAGGGAGGTAAAGAGAAGGAGCAATAGAGACCAGGAAAAGCAGAGGGAGAGAAAGACAGACACATGAAGAAACAGATGCCATTGCAAGACAGACAGCCCAGAAGGATGACAGTCAGAGAAATTCACTTCCATCTCAAACCTGCTCCCTCCCTCCTTCCTCCCAGGGCTGCTCTCCAGATGGCACTTGAGTTTCAGGCCATGCCCCCCCACCCCACCACCCCACCCCCCGCTGCAGGACAGAGTTGGAAGCTCAAGGGACTTGCCCAATAGAGCTTAAGCCTTGCCTCCACCATCTCAACTGCACTGAAAGAACGCAGGGCCCTGAACTTTCCTGCCCAAGCTGCCAGATCCCTGGTGTGTGCCCTCCAAGGCAGAAGAGGGGCACTCACAGGGGCAGGGGTGGCCAGAGCCTGGACATAGGGCTGGGCATCCGCATAGATGCTTGTGAAATCTCTTGAAATGTGGGGTGAAATGGGATGGGGAGCAGAGAGAAGGGGGCAGGCTGGAGACAGTCCACCCCTTGCCAGCATTGACCTTTGAGGAGTCCAGGAGTTCTAAATTTGAACCTGGCCTGACTTATTAGGTAGGTTTGTCAAGGTCAGAGAAGTAGACATATTTTATTTACCAGTTTGTTAGCTTCATATGTAACTTTTTTTTTTTTTGAGACAGTTTGAGACTATTGCTTTGGGTAGAGTGCTGTGGCCTCTTAAGCTCACAGCTTAAGTGATCCTTTTGCCTCAGCCTCCTGAGTAGCTGGGATTCCAGGCACCCACCACAAAGCCCAGATAATTTTTCTATTTTTAGTAGAGATAGGGTCTTGCTCTTGCTCAGGCTAGTCTCAAACTTCTGAACTCAAACGATCCACCCACCTCCAGAGTGCTAGGATTATAGGCATGAGCCAGGGAGCCTGACCAAATGTAACCTTTTGACACTGAGGACATAGGTTACTCCTTGAGCTCTCATCTGGGAAGGAACCATGGAGGTGAGGAGCCCACCTGCCTTTGAGGAGAGTGTGGGACTTACCCAGCTGTCTTCATCTGACACCATAAGAGCAGAGCATCCTTGGCTGAGCGCGTCTCTCTGTTGTCCTCAGTCTCAATTTTAATGACTTGAATCTGGAAAAATACAAAAAAATGTTAGTAGGGCCTGAAGAGCTTGAGGCCAGGAGGCCTCCCCCTCTCCATCCTGATCCCAGGGAGGACAGCAGGTGATGGAGGAGATGGGAGAAGCAGCTTCAGGCTGGGGGTGGGGATTCAGGAATGTGAGGCTCAGTTATGGAGTGGAACAAGATATCCACAACTGGGGCCAGAGAGGCGGTTATAGATTCAGGTCTCAGTTTCCAGGGAAGCCTCCAAACTAAGTGTCTGTGCTAGTTTCCTGAT